GATGATAGAGGACAACCACTGATGAAAATGGAAAGTGATGTGAGTATCAATTGTTTAAACAAGGATCAAGGAAGCAAAAGAATTGTTTGTTTTTGCAGTTGTGCCTACATGCTTGTTAAGCTAGTGCTTGTTGACACAGCTTGCATTGTCCATGTGAGCATCCCTCAGGCCCACAGCCAGCTGTCTCGCTAAATGTTTTACATGCAGTAAGTAATAGCATTCCTGTGTGGAATGGGTCAGAATGACTCTCTCTATTAAAACTACAGTGCTGTGGAAGAGCTGGAGGATCTCCATTTTCCCCCCAAAGATGAAATGTTTCTTTATGAGAAACACAGAAATTGAAGTGACTGGTGGGTCACTTCTTTAACCAGAAAAGTTAAGTAAAATAGTCTTCTTCTAGGAAACTGTGACTGTACTTACCTGTAGTTATGAAGGTCAATTTCATAAGCATGGGGACGCAACTGGAAGGATGAATGCAAGCCTTTAAAAGTAAGTGGTTAAATATGCTTTTGGCAGTTGTCCCCAAAGACGAGCTCAAATATAAAAGAGAAGATAAAAATAAACATTGCTCAACCCTTTCATTCATTACAGGCTGTCAAATGGGACAGGTGCTGTGGAAAAACCCATGTGTGACTGTGTCATTAGAAGTTGAGTCATCATGCGAGGGCAGGGAGAGGGGTGGAGGGGCTGGGGTGACTGCGGCAACCTTAGTTTAACATGGGCTGATCTTTAGAGAAAACCTGGTCAGAAGGAGGAGTTTCTCGTGTTTGGAGAACTTTCTTTAAACTGGGAACAAAAGTAAAACTTTCCAATGGGTAAACACTATGCAAAGTATCCAGTTTCCTTTTTCTGATGCTGCTAAACTCTTTTTGACACACAAAATAAATATCAGTACAATAAGCAACAGTATGATGTCATGAGTTTGAACAAAATGGTAAAAACAAAGAACTCTGATTCTCAAAACTAGATTAGAAAACCAAAGCCTTGTTCTTGACTTTCACTTTGAAAATCCTATCAATATTAATACCTCACTATGAATGAAAGTTCTGATGAGACTGAGGTTTTTTCTTTGTGTTGTTTTAGCAAACGTGAATGCTTCTAAATATACTTCAACTAATTGCTGAGACATTTCATGAGAAGAAGCATTGTTTACTATGGATGGAAAAAGCTGTGCTGTTTTGCAATTCCTAGTGCCACACACCATTAACTCTATCCTTGAGGGATGCCTGAAGCTGAGATTATAGCAGCATCCTGCCTGGGCCTGCCTGGCAGTTACCATTTTGCCTGGAGCCTGCACAATTAAATCACATCACCTCCTCAGCCAACTGCACTCTCTATCCACCTGCAATGTCTTCCTTCAGCATGTGGCCAGGGCACAAAAGGCCTAAGGGAGTGGAACAACTAATTTCTTATGGTCCATAAGAATACTCAGAGGGCAAATTTAAACTGTCCATATCACACAGTAAATATTGTTTAATTGCTCTTTCTGTGTCTGGGTTCAGAGTTTGTGCTCATCAACCTTTATGGAGAAAAATGTTGCTGTCCCAGTGTGTCCTGAGCTTGGCAAAGCTGTTGGGTGTCAACCCAGCAACACTGTGACTGCCTGTGGGTCGTGGCAAGAAAGCCTCTGTTTAGTGCTCTTTTGCTCTCCACTGCTACATTTTTGGGTGGTTGACATATGTGAGTATTTCACAATGGCAGGGAGAGGGCTCTGTGTACATGTGGGAGAACCGGCTGCCAGAACAGGAGAGCTTGTGCTTCTCTTCAAGTACCAGATTGGTGTCTGGATTTTTTCCTCATATATTTTTTTTTTCCCCAATTGATGAGCAATGTTTTCAGTAAATGCTTAGAGACTGTTTTCCTGTCCCAAATTGGCATGGCAACAGCATCAGAACAAAACTCAAAAGCATCAGCTTAATGACATACTGAAATGGCTTCAGAATTCATAACATGCTCTCATTTTTTTGGAACTGTAAGGGAAGGGATTATTGCAAAGCATGGGGAAGGGACTACTACACAGCACGGGCTGTTGGAAACCTTTCCTCCAGGCAGGTATTGAATGCCAAATGAAGATAAGCCAGTTAAATACTTATTTTTAATTAATCCTTGTAAACATCCGTATGAAAGAAGACTGAATTAACCCTAGGATATATTACATTCCTCCATAGCAGAAACAAGAAAACAAGTTCAGTATTCTTTATGGATTGGGTCACATGAAGATCTTAACCAGAAAATCACAACCATCTATCAATGCTATGATTTTTTCAGTTAGTAGAAAAAGGAGGTGTAAGAGTGGCTAGAGATCCCCAACTTCACCTCAAACAGCCATCAAATATGATGTTATTAACTCCACACTAAATGGTATTAGTGTTTCTTAATCTTGTCTTTTGCAAAATGTTTTGCTCTGTTAAATAACACTGCTTCATTAGCATTCCCATATTCTAGACTGTCTGGATAAATAAAGCATGCTGAACTCTCAGTTCACTGACTTTGTGAGGCGTAAACCTGACTTTGCTAATTTAAATATTAGTAGCAACTTACATAAATTACAATGTTAAAAATGTCTCCCTTTTTAACAGAGTTAAAGAGTTTAAAAGCAGTTCAAAACAATATATCAAGAGTCTACGAAGTTGTAGATGTTGTCATACCACTCGCAGGTGTATGGGATCTTTTCTACATCAGAGTAACCTGTTCTGTGCTTGGTTTGTCCCTGCATCCATGGTTCGAAGACTCCTATGCACCTCGAGGATGTTACCAAAGCCTGGAGTGAAGTGTTTTGAGAGGTATAACTCTTCTCCATTAGTATGAACTTCTTTGGTACCCAAAGCTTTCCGTATAACTAATTTTCCCTTAGTTTTATGTGAAAAAAATAACAGGTTTTTTTTATTTTTTTTTTTTTTTTTTAAGTCAGTGAAGCCACTTGTGCATCGGACTGGCTTCGCCATCTACGGACGTCTGTAGATAGTGAAATGCAAGGAGGGAAGCTTGAGACAAAAGCTGGAATTTGGGCTGGAAATTCCCTTCCTCGCTGTGTAACTCACCCTACCGCTTCAGAAAGCTTTTCCTTGCTATTGCTTAAGAACTGAGAAGTCCGACTTGCAGTCCCGCTAGTTTTCCAGTCACTTGTGTGCGCGCCTTGTTCGGGATGGTCAGCGGGGATGATCCCGGCTGCCTCAAGCTCCCCGGACCGGCTCTGAGGGGCTCCCGGGGCAGCGTCCCCTCCATGCCCCTCCTGCTGGGGCGAGGGAAAGCCCCGTTTCCCGTATGTTTTCCGGGGAGCCGGCCGAGGCTCGGTGCCGTGGTGCCGCTCGGCGGCGGGCGGGT